TTTGACAAACTTGTCTCCTATTGATTTTGATTGGGTTCAGATGGAGTGAGCCCTTGCCAAACCAAACCCAGGGCTGTTCAGCTCATCACTAGTGGTGACATCACTCAAATCTGGTGAGATTGGCAGTCAGAGACAGCAGTGCATTAGATGATATCACATTGCAGATTTATCGCACAGGAGTGCCTAAGCACCCTCACGTACCATGAGGTACACCATGAGGAGAAACTCAAAACAAAGATTTTTCAGGGTGATGATGCTCAGTCACATTTAACATATCCAGATGTTCCCTATAACATAGAAAATCTTCAAACCCACTTTAAAAATGTATACTCCCCTCATCTCGGTGTCCTTATCGGATTTGTCTGTGCTTTGGCAACGGAGGCTGCAGGGCATCCCAGACTTGGATAATGAGGACTGGGAAGACCTGTGGGATCTGCCTTTTGATGAGACCAAGATAAACTGATTTGGTTTAGATGGTGTCAAGCGTGTGTGGGGGCAACCAGGTGAGGAGTACAAAGACAAGTGTGTCTTGCCTACAGTCAAGCATGGTGGTGGGAGTATCATGGTCTGGGGCTGCATGAGTGCTGCCGGCACTGGGGAGCTACAGTTCATGGAGGGAACCATGAATGCCAACATGTACTGTGACATACTGAAGCAGAGCATGATCCCCTCCCTTTGGAGACTGGACCGCAGGGCAGTATTCCAACATGAAACACACCTCCAAGACAACCACTCCCTCGGTAAAGAAGCTGAGGGTAAAGGGGTTGGACTGGCCAAGCATGTCTCCAGACCAAAACCCTATTGAGCATCTGTGGGGCATCCTCAAATGGAAGGTGGAGGAACGCAAGGTCTCTAACATCCACCAGCTCTGTGATGTCGTCATGGAGGAGTGGAAGAGGACTCCAGTGGCAACCTGTGAAGCTCTGGTGACCTCCATGCCCCAGAGGGTTAAGGCAGTGCTGGAAAATAATGGCGGCCACACAAAATATTGACACTTTGGGCCCAATTTGGACATTTTCACTTAGGGGTGGAGTCACTTTTGTTGCCAGCGGTTTAGACATTAATGGCAGTGTGTTGAGTTATTTTGAGGGGACAGCAAATTTACATGTTATACAAGCTGTACACTCACTACGTCACATTGTAGCAAAGTGTCATTTCTTCAGTGTTGTCACATGAAAAGATAGAATCAAATATTGACAAAAATGTGAGGGGAGGACTCACTTCTGGGAGATACTGTAAATACCTACATTATCAGGAGCTGTCCGGGGAAATATGAAAGAGTTTGATCAAAGTGGTTGGCAGAACCCACCATGGCTTATGTAACAGATGAGTCTTGAGGCCTGCAAGAGTCCCCCACCATTGATACCCATTTAGCCTTTATTAGGGAAGCCTTACCTATTTGGGGTCACCTATATAATTTGGGTAAAGCTCTCCTGTTTCAGTATTATCTCTCTGATAGTGCGAGCCACATCTTTATACTCTAAGAGTTGACATTGTTTTTTCATTTACCCCCCCATGGATAACTTGTTAGTACGAAGCCCTGAGAGAGCTAGTTTGACTGTAGTTTCATTTTGGTCTGTTTTATCTTCTGAATTTTTTTAACATAGAAAATCTCCACTTATTGAGCTCAGGTCCACTTACATGAAAGCAACGCTAGTCACGTGGTTGACGTGTAGACGCCATCTTTAATACCCTCTGAGTCACTGACCCAGAATATTTTCAGATTGGGTTCAGCTACTTTGTTCTTTCTAGTTCCCTCGTGATGGGGAACTAGAAATGAAAGCAATGCTAGTTGCGTGGTTGATGTGTAGACACCATCTTTAATACCTTCTGAGTCACTGACCCAGAATATTTTCAGAGTGGGTTCAACTACTTTGTTCTTTCCAGTTCCCTCGTGATGGGGAACTAGAAATGAAAGAAATGCTAGTTGCGTGGTTGACATGTAGACACCATCTTTAATACCTTCTGAGTCACTGACCCAGAATATTTTCAGATTGGGTTCAGCTACCTTGTTCTTTCTAGTTCCCTTATGATGGGGAACTAGAAATGACAGCAATGCTAGTCACATGGTTGACATGTAGACGCCATCTTTAACACCTTCTGAGTCACTGACCCAGAATATTTTCAGACTGGGTTCAGCTACCTTGTTCTTTCTAGTTCCCTCATGATAGGGAAATAGAAATGAAAGCAATGCTAGTCGCGTGGTTGACATGTAGACGTCATCTTTAATACCTTCTGAGTCACTGTGTCAGGAATGGACTTGCCAATAGTGGTGGGACTCACCTGCCTTGTGGGCTGCAGTACCAGGGCTGGCCAGCGGGTGCTCTCAACAACCAGAGGCTCACTCCTGCAATTAGCCATCACCTGGGCTGATTGCAGGTGGTGTATTTAAAGGATGGCCAGACCTGCAGTCAGTGGCTTGTTGTACTGTTCGCTTGGCCCTGGTTTCCTGATCCTGTTACTTCTGTCCTGACTCTGCTTGAACTCTGCCTGTACTGACCTCGGCTAGTCCTGACCACTCTCCTGCCTGCTCCTGGTACTCCGTTTGCTATCGACCCGGCCTGCCTGACTACTCTTGTATTGTATGTTTGTTATCTGTTGGAGGTTTGGTTTAGTTTGTTTGCACTGTGTTTATGTTTAGTTTTGCACTGCGTTTGTATTGTTAGTCTTAATAAATTATATTATTTACTATACCTGAAGCCTGCATTCCCCTGTGTCAGTCCACACACTTCTGGTCATACCCGGATCCCTGACACACTGACCCAGAATATTTTCAGATTGGGTTCAGCTACCTTGTTCTTTCTAGTTCTGTCATGATGGGGAACTAGAAATGAAAGCAATGCTAGTCGTGTGGTTGACATGAAGACGCCATCTTTAATACCTCCTCAGTCACTGTCCGAGAATATTTTCAGATTGGATTCAGCTACCTTGTTCTTTCTAGTTCCCTTGTGATGGGGAACTAGAAATGAAAGCAATGCTAGACGTGTGGTTGACATGTATACGCCATCTTTAATACCTTCTGAGTCACTGACCCAGAATATTTTCAGATTGGGTTCAGCTACCTTGTTCTTTCTAGTTCCCTTGTGATGGGGAACTAGAAATGAAAGTAATGCTAGTCGCGTGGTTGACATGTAGACGCCATATTTAATACCTCCTCAGTCACTGTCCGAGAATATTTTCAGATTGGATTCAGCTACCTTGTTCTTTCTAGTTCCCTTGTGATGGGGAACTAGAAATGAAAGCAATGCTAGACGCGTGGTTGACATGTAGACGCCATCTTTAATACCTTCTGAGTCACTGACCCAGAATATTTTCAGATTGGGGTCAGCTACCTTGTTCTTTCTAGTTCCCTCATGATGGGGAACTAGAAATTAAAGCAATGCTAGACGCGTGGTTGACATGTAGATGCCATCTTTAATACCTTCTGAGTCACTGACCCAGAATATTTTCAGATTGGGTTCAGCTACCTTGTCTTTCTAGTTCCCTCATGATGGGTGCCCTTCAAGAGGCAGTAACTGTGGCAACATTTGCAATGAAGGCCAATCAACCATGACATAGTGTTGGAAGATTAGGAGTTTATTTGCAAATAACACATTTCCAGAACACTCAAAATTGAATAACCAGGTTACAGGAAAAGAACTGTGATATACTAATATTATTTTTCCTCTCTTCTACTACAAAAGGTTACATATGCCGCATCTGGGCTGGACCAATCCCAGAAGCCAGGTTGCCAGGGTTTCTAAATAAAAAGAAATAATACTTGTTGGAAATACTGATGGCACCTTGGCATGGCTTCCACTATGATTAATGGATACACGTATATCTTGGATATTTAAAGTGTCAGTCCTCCCAAAATTGATATTTTAGCAATGGGTGGACGGTCATGGCGTTACATTACACTGATGTTCCTCAGAATGGTTTTGAGGAACTCGATGTACACCAGAAAATGTCATCTCACCAGAAAAGTGAGATTTGAGCCTATGGAGGAAGGAGCATCAAAGACTATGGCCTTTCTTGGGGGTAAACAATGGTAATCAGCTGTGAAAACCGGTCCTGGTTGAGCAATGTAATGCCAACTGCCTCAGCCAGGGAGCACCGGCCAGGGTTGTGGAGGGGCCCAAAAACATACAAACAGTCCCCAATCCAAATATCAATAACTGTAGGTATCCTAATGCAGGCCATAGACGGGTCGAAAATCGGCCGTTTTTTTAAAAAAAAAAACAAAAAATTGGTCGTTCAATCAGCCGACGTTACCCACCAACGGTAAAAAAATCGGCCAATTTTCGGCCCGTTTACGGCCGGCATCAAACCCCATAATTACTTCTGTCCCTTGCAGAGAGCTCCACTATTATATTTTACATGAAAAAGTCTTGCGGTTGCAACAATGTATCCATTTGTATCCATTTTGGATACAGATGTTTTTATTTGGATACAAATGGATACATTGTTGCAACCGCAAGACTTTTTCATGTAAAATATAATAGCGGACTAGAATTCTTCTTCTTTTTCTTCTTCTTTTCTTTCTTCTTCTTCTTGCAGGTCACTGCTCATGCGCAGATTTTTTATCGGGAAAATGAACGGCCGATTTGCCCATCATTGCCGGCAAAATCGGCTGCGAATTTTCCAACTTGATCGATAAAAAAAATGTGCCAAAACCCCGAAAAACGGCCAGACCAATTAACCCACTAACGGTGTGAAAATCAGCAGATTTTTTGACCCGTCTATGGCCTGCATTAGACTCTCTGGCTATAACTGAGCCAAAAAATTCAAGTGCAATGGAATTGCCACAAAGAGGTGAACTGGAAATCAGATTTCTACCATCCAGCCAACACCGAAATATCACCAGTTGGTGGACTGACCACTCCCAACAGTCGTAACATCTCCTGTACTTGGCCTACTGGCTTCTGAACTGACAGCGACACATCCACCCCTGGATGCGACAATTGCTACGGTGACAGTAAACATACAATGAAGGCTAAAGATGCATCTACATGCGGTAATCAGGTACATGCAAGGGGCTTCCCATTTATATGGACCTTCTGGTGAGCCACGTAACTGTCCTTCTGGGTGAAGCACTTCCCACAATCTGGACAAACAAATGTTTTTTTCGTCTACATGGAGCTTCTGGTGCGTAATATAGGCAGCTTTCTGAGTGAAGCACCTCCCGCACTCAGCACATTTGAAGGGCTTCTCGTCTGCATGGATCAACTGATGCCGGACGAGGTAGACTTTGGCGCTGAAACATTTACCGCACTCCGAACAGCCAAAAGGTTTCTCTCCTGTGTGGATTCTTTGATGGACCACGCAACTGGCCTTCTGAGTGAAGCACTTGCCACAATGGGTGCAAACAAATGGTTTTTCACCGGTGTGGACCCGTTGGTGAGCCGCAAAAGAAGCCTTCTGAGTGAAGCATTTACCGCACTCTGAACATTTAAAAGGTTTCTCATCTGTGTGAATTCTATAATGTGCATTGTAGCTTGCCTTCTGTGTAAAGCATTTGCCACACTCAGAACATTTGTAGGGCTTGATGTCAGTGTGAATCAACTGATGCCGTACCAGGTAGACCTTGGAGCTAAACCTCTTGCCACACTGGCAACACTCGAAAGGCTTTTCACCAGTGTGAATTCGCTGGTGAACAATGCAGCTGGCCTTCTGGGTAAAGCATTTTCCGCAGTGTGCACACACGAAAGGTTTTTCGCCCGTGTGAATTCTCTGGTGTGCCACATAGCCGGCTTTCTGCGTGAAGCATTTCCCACACTCTGCGCATTCAAAGGGCTTCTGGCCCGTGTGGATAATCTGATGGCGAACCAGGTAAATCTTGGAGGTGAAACATTTTCCACACTCTGGACAAAGAAACGGCTTCTGGTCAGTGTGGATGCGCCGATGGACTATGAGGTTGGAGGCACTGGTGAAACATTTCCCACAATGGGAACACACAAAGGGCTTTTCCCCAGTATGGGTCCTCTGGTGGGACGCAAAGCTTGCTTTCTGAGTGAAACATTTCCCGCACACAGAGCAGGCATAAGGCTTTTCCCCAGTGTGGATCCGTTGGTGTATTATTCGGTTGGCAGCATTGGTGAAACACTTCCCACAATCAGAACAGGGGAAGGGTTTTTCTCCTGTGTGAGTCCGTTGGTGTTCATCAAAACTTTTCTTCAGTCGGAAACATTTCCCGCACACAGCACATTCAAAAGGTCGCTCGCCCGTGTGAATTCTCTGGTGTACAACACAGCTGGCCTTCTGTGTAAACCGCTTGCCGCACTGCGTACACACGTATGGCTTCTCCCCCGTGTGAATGCGCTCGTGAGCCAAGTAGCTTGCCTTCTGCGAAAAGCATTTGCCGCACTGCCTGCACACGAAAGGCTTCTCGCCGGTGTGAACCCGTCGGTGCGTGATAAAGCTAGCCTTCTGGGAAAAGCATTTGCCACACTCATTGCACTCAAAGGGCTTCTCTCCTGTATGGATCCTATGGTGGGCCAGGTAATTTGCTTTCTGGGCAAAGCCCCGCCCACATTCATGACACTTATAGGGTTTTTTCATCCGTATGAATCCTCTGATGGGCCATATAGCCTCCTTTTTGGGTGAAGCACTTGCCGCACTGCCCGCACTGAAACGGCTTCTCGCCGCGATGAATGAGTTGGTGCCTCACCAGGTAGATCTTAGAGCTAAAACACTTTCCGCACTCCAGACAGCCGAAGGGTTTTTCTCCGGTGTGAATCCTCTGGTGGACAATGCAACTTGCTTTCTGAGCGAAGCGCTTGCCGCACTGCGAGCAGATAAAGGGCTTTTCCCCTGTGTGAATCCTCTGGTGGACAATACAGCTGGCTTTCTGAGCGAAACACTTCCCGCACTGGGAGCAGACGTAGGGCTTTTCCCCTGTGTGAATCCGCTCGTGAGCCAGGTAGCTGGCTTTTTGCGTGAAACATTTACCGCACAGCGTGCACATGTAGGGTTTTTCCCCCGTGTGGATTCGCTGATGCGTGAGGTAACTGGCCTTCTGGGTAAAGCACTTTCCACACAACGTGCACAAGAAAGGCTTCTCGCCCGTGTGGATCCGTCGGTGAGCCAGAAAGCTGGCCTTCTGCGTGAAACATTTGTGGCACTCTTCGCATTTGAAGGGCTTCTCGTCGTTGTGTATCCTCTGGTGCGCATTGAAGCTAGCCTTCTGCGTGAAGCACTTGCCGCAATCAAAACAAGCGAAGGGTCGTTCGCCGGTGTGGACCATTCGGTGTCTCACCAGGTAAATCTTTGAGCTGAAGCATTTGCCGCAATCCAGACATTCAAAGGGTTTTTCACCCGTGTGAATTCGCTGGTGCACGATGCAGCTGGCCTTTTGGGAAAAAGGTTTGCCGCAATGGGTGCAGACGTAGGGTTTTTCACCCGTGTGAATGCGCTGGTGGGCCAGGTAGCTAGCTTTCTGCGTGAAGCACTTGCCGCAGTGGGAACAGGCAAAGGGCTTTTCACCCGTGTGAACCAGTCGGTGCCGGACCAAGTAGACCTTAGAGCTGAAGCATTTCCCGCATTCGAAGCAAACAAACGGCTTCTCGCCCGTGTGTATCCTCTGGTGGACTATACAGCTAGCTTTTTTGGGTGAAGCGTTTGCCGCACTGGAAGCAAACAAAGGGTTTTTCCCCGGTGTGAATCCTCTGGTGGGCCAGGAAGCTAGCTTTTTGGGTAAAGCATTTGCCACACTGAGAACAGATGAAAGGCTTCTCGCCCGTGTGAATCCGCTGGTGGACAACCAAGTTGCCTGCGCTGCTCTGAAACACTTTCCGCAATCAGAACAGGGAAACGGCTTTTCGTTCTCATGGCTTCTCAAATGTCTGGTGAGATGGAGGCTCGTGAAGAAGCACTTTCCGCATTTGGAACAGACGAAGGGTTTCTGCTCCGTGTGACTTTTACGGTGGACGATGAGGTCCGAGGCACTTGAAAAACATTTGCCGCATTCGGCACAGGAGAACGCATTCTGCCCTTTGTGAAGCTTCTGGTGCTTGAGGAAGCCTAGCTTGGAGATGAAGAGACTGCCGCACACGGAGCAGACAAACTGTTTCTGTTTTTTGCGGGTCTCCTCGTCTTGGAAAAGCTCCGACTCGTAGCTGAACGGATGCTCGCCACCAAAACAGGACAAAAGGCTCTCGTGTTTGATGAAGTTGGTGTTCACGGCAGACAAGTTCAATGGTTTCTCCTCGTGGACGGTTCTTTGGTTATAGTGGGACGATGAATATTCTGTCCAGGTATCGAGTTTTTGGGTTGATACGTGAAACGGGAAGATTCCGTTCGGCTTCTCTAACTTTATTCGAAAGGGGGTGCCTGAGGTCATACTTCTAGTAATCCTCGTGGTGTAATAATCGGGGTGGACAAAACCATCTTCTGAAATCCAGTCTAGTGGGAGGACGGGCAGATCGCTGATCTCCGAAAGGGTCATGTTGAAGGCCGTATCTGTAACAAATGGAAAAAACTATGTTACAAAGGACAAGAGTGGAGAAGACTGCCATTTTCTCCAATTCCTAAAGCAAACCTGTCACTTTCATACAGTTCCAATCCAAACTATTTGAAAATACATAGGTGCTGACAGCGCGCACCCTGCGTGCTCCCAGCACATGTATCTGTGACTCACGGAAAGGTCCCGATCTCCCCTTTCGATCATGTGATGGCGAATCACAGCGGTCACATGATCGAAAGGGGAGATCAGGACCTTTCTGTGAGTTACGGACATATGTGCTGGGAGAACGCAGGGCGCGCGCTCTCAGCACATATGTATTTTCAAATGGTACGCAAATATGAGTCAAGTCCCAGACGTCACATGACCCTAAAACACCGCCCGCCTCCCGGCTTCTGAAACTCTTAAAGGGCGCCGGCGCGAAGACGTTAAATACCACCCAGCCTGTTAACCACTTCACGTCAACGCCTCCCAGCCCTTTAAGGGTTTCAGAAGCCAGGAGGTGGGGTTTAGGGTCATGTGACCGCCGTGACACGCTGTCACAGCGGTCACATGATCAGGAAAGGTCCCGATCAAAAGGGGAGATCAGGACCTTCCCGAGAGTACCAGACATGTGTACTGGGAGTGCGCAGGGCGTGCTCTCAGCACATATGTATTTTCTAATTGCACGTAAATATTCGTCAAGGCCCAGACGTGACTCACAAAAAGGTCCCGATCTCCCCTTTCGATCATGTGATGGCGAATCACGGCGGTCACATGATCGAAAGGGGAGATCGGGACCTTTCCATGAGTTACGGACACATGTGCTGGGAGCGCGCAGGGCGCGTGCTCTCAGCACATGTGTATTTTCTAATTGCACGTAAATATGCCTCAAGGCCCAGACATGACTTACGGAAAGGTCCTGATCTCCCCTTTCGATCATGTGATGGCGAATCACGGCGGTCACATGATCGAAAGGGGAGATCGGGACCTTTCCGTGAGTTATGGACATATGTGCTGGGAGCGCGCAGGGCGCACGTTCTCAGCACATATGTATTTTCTAATTGCACGTAAATATGCGTCAAGGCCCAGACGTGACTCACAGAAAGGTTCTGATCTCCTCTTTCGATCATGTGACGGCGAATCACGGCGGTCACAATCGAAAGGGGAGATTGGGACCTTTCCGTGAGTCACGGATACATGTGCTGGGGAGCGCGCAGTGCGTGCGATCTCAGCACATATGTATTTTCCCTTGTTCAATCTTGCCACCCACTTCTTCCTGTCACTTCGATATCTGCTGCTGGTCCCTACAAAGTGCCTGCAATTGTGGACAATCTATTGTTAACAATTGAATTTCACACCTCTGCCTCCATGTGACAACACCGGGGTCTGCAGATTGGCTGATCAGCATTTTGGGGAGCCACATGGCACATGCTTCCCCATACCAAGAAGTACGGAGACTGTCACAGGCCAGCAGTGAGGATCAACATGATTATAGCATGTATCGCCACTTGAGGGTCACTTACACAATCGGTAAGTTTGGGATCTTGGTACAGTTACAGGTTCCCCTTAACCCCTTGATGCCGAGCACACGCAAATATGCGTCCTCTCGGCGTCTAGGCTTTGACATATTCACGTGCAATTAGAAAATACATATGTGCTGAGAGCGTGTGCCCTGAGCGCTCCCAGCACATATGTCCGTAACTCACGGAAAGGTCTCGATCTCCCCTTTAGATCATGTGACCGCCGTGATTCGCCGTCACGGCGGTCACATAATTGAAAGGGGAGATCAGGACCTTTCCATGAGTCACGGATACATGTGCTGGGAGAACGCAGGGCGCTCGCTCTCAGCGCATATGTATTTTCAAATGGTACGCAAATATGCGTCAAGGCCCAGAGGTCACATGACCCTAAAAAACCCCGCCCGCCTCCAAAACTCTTAAAGGGCCGGGAGGCTCCGGCACGAAGAGGTTAAATACCACCCAGCCTGTTAAGCTTCCCCCAACTGTACTCTTAAATCTGAATTTCTCTTTCAGTACATATTACTTTGGCAGATCTATAAGATTATTACTAAGGATGCACTGAAATTTCGGTGGCCGAAATGTTTCAGCCTAAAACAACCCTTTTGGCTGTTGGCCGAAATGAAGAAAAGCACCGATACAGGTGCCGAAAAAAACCCCGCCCCTCGCCGCTGCCACCACCGGCCTCCGCTCGGTAGTTCAGCCTTACCTGAGAAACCATCAAACGATCCCGGCGCTGGGCATAGAAATGAGTGAAGGAAAGATGGCCTCCACTCATCTCTATGCCCTTGGAGGACCGGAGCGATGTCACTTCCTGTTCCGGACATTTTTTTTTCCTTTAAAGCACTAGATCAATGCTTTTTGGATCCAATGCTTTACATTGCAGAGGAGAGATGTGGGGTCTCTCCATAATCTCCATAACTCTCACTAATTATTTCTATCACGAGGGATACATGCATTTCTTGTGATAAGAATAAAAGTGATTACAATTTTAATTAAAGGGACAGTGCAAAAAAACACCCCCAAAAAACAAAACAAATAAATAAAAAAAAAAGTTTAAAGTGCCCCCGTCCCCCCGTGGTGAACGCATACGTAGGCCACACCCACATATGTAAATGGTGTCCAAACCACACACGTGAGATATTGCCATGAACGTCACAGCAAGAGCAATAATTCTCGCACTAGACCTCCTCTGTAACTTTATACTGCTGACCTGTAGACATTTTTAGAGCGTTACCCATGGAGATTTTTAAGTACCGCAGTTTCACGCCATTCCACGGGTGTGCGCAATTTTAAAGCGTGACATGTTGGTTATCTATTTACTTGCCGTAACATCCTCTTTCATAGTTTACAAAAAACTGTGGTATACAGTTGTGCTCAAAGGTTTACATTCCCTGGCAGAAATTGTGAAATTTTGGCATTGATATTGAAAATATGACTGATCATGCCAAAAAATGCTCTTTTTATTGAAGGATGATGATCATATGAAGCTATTTATTATCAAATAATTGTTTGGCTCCTTTTTAAATCATAATGATAACAGAAATCACCCAAATGGCCCAGATCAAAAGTATCCGCCCCCTAGATCAGAAGTCTCCGCCCCCTGGAATGTTTGGCCTTGGTACAGACATACAAGGTGACACACATGGGTTAAAATGCCAATTAGAAGTTAATGTCCCACATCTGTGGCTTTTTAAATTGCAATTAGTGTCAGTGTATAAATAGTCAATGAGTTTGTTAGCTCTTATGTGGGAGCACTGACTAGGCTAGATACTGAGCCATGGGGATCAGAAAAGAACTATCAAAAGTCTTGCGTAACAAGGTAATGGAACTTTATAAAGATGGAAAAGGATATAAAAAGATGTCCAAAGCCTTGAATATGCCAATCAGTACTGTTAAATCACCTATTAAGAAGTGGAAAATTCGGGGATCTCTTGATACCAAGCCAAGGTCAGGTAGACCAAGAAAGACTGCAGCCATAACTGACAGAAGAATTGTCCGGGATTCAAAGAAAAAACCACAGACAACCTCAAAAGAAATACAGGCTGCGCTAGAAAAAAAGATGATGTGATCATTTTTAAGGAGTACAATATGGTGATACTTGAACAATAATGAGCTGTTTGGTCGAAGCACCAGGAAGAAGCTTTTACTGTACCAATGCCACAAAAAAGCCCAGTTACAATATGCCTGACAACACCTTGACATGCCTAACCGGGCCCTCTTGTGTCACTGATGCAATAAAGGCTTCTTTCTGGCATCTCCACCATGAAGCTCATTTTTGTTCAAGGGTCATCATATTGTGCTCCTTCAAAACAACCACATTGTCTTTTTCCAGAGCAGCCTGTATTTTTCTTGTGGTTAGCTATGGGTTTCCCTTTGTATCCCAAATAATTCTTCTGTCAGTTATGGCTGCAATCTTTCTTGGTCTACCTGACCTTGGCTTGGTATCAAGAGATCCCCGAACTTTCCACTTAATAGGTGATTTAACAGTACTGATTGGTATATTCAAGGCTTCGGACATCTTTTTATGTCCTTTTCCATCATTATAAAGTTCCATTACCTTGTTACATGGAACAGTTCTTTTCTGCTCCCCATGGCTCAGTATCTAGCCTAGTCAGTGCTTCCATGTAAGAGCTAACAAACCCATTGATTATTTATACACTGACACTAATTGCAATTTAAAAAGCCACAGATGTGGGACATTAACCTCTAATTGGCATTGTAACTCGTGTGTGTTACCTTGTGTTTCTGTACCAAGGCCAAACAATCCAGGGGCGGAGACTTCTGATCCAGGGGGCGGAGACTTCTGATCCGGGCCATTTGGGTGATTTCTGTTACCATTATGATTTAAAAAGGAGCCAAACAACTATTTGATAATAAATGGCTTCATATGATCATCATCCTTCAATAAAAGCATTTTTGGCATGATCAGTCATATTTTCAATATCAATGCCAAAATTTCACAATTTCTGCCAGGGTACGCAAACTTTTGAGCACAACTGTATATTGTTTTTTTTTTTATCAAATTGTAGTTTTTTCCAAAAAATGTATATTCATTTTTAAAAACTGCACATTTTGGTTTCGGTTTTTGACCAAGTGCATTTTGAATTATTGGTTTCGGCACCAGAATCTTCATTTCGGTGCATCACTAGTGTCCACCCAGGGTAAGTTCAGGGACATGCACCCACACCCACATGGATGACACACTGGGACGTGGTGACTGTGTACATGCAATTACGTGTCCCAACTGACATTTATGGGACTGGCGGCACGGGGATGCACGCAACACCTGTGCATCCCAGTGCCGGCAGAACACAGTCCTGCACAGGGCATGCAAGTAATAGCTGCAACCATAGCACTAGTATGAAAACAAGATGGGGCAGAGCAGAAACTTAGCAGTCCTTACATTTCAAAAATGAAATGAAAGTGAAACTAAACCCTTCTATCCTTTACAGCCCAGAAAGCTGCCATCTTGGCTTTTGTTTGACCTGCAGCTGGCATGGTTCTGCACATGATCAATTATGACACCAGACATTTGATGGTTAATGGTCTGGGTGGAAGCACAAGCAAATGGGACAGTTCTCATTTACAGCTTGCCTTTAAAATGGTAGTAAACTCTCTTTTTTTTAACTTTTGCCTACAGGTAGTCTTACAATAAGGCTTTCCTGTAGGGAAAACGCGAATATCTCGAAAGCGTTAGGAGGGACTTCACCGGTACATGCACTTTGAAGGAACGGCATACCTGTGCCATTCCTTCAGAGCTGTGTGCCGCGGCCGAGACTTCTATGTAAGTGCGTAGGAGTGACACCATCACACCATTCAAGCAGCCGTAGTCCATGAACCTGGAAGGACTGGGTGAAAATGGAAGCCTTTGCAGCGGTGTGATATCATGCCACTGGAGGACTTTGGTTTCAGGTAAGTCTTTCATAATGTGGTATTATATCAGCACCAGGGGCGGAATGACAACTCAAGGGGCCCCTGGGCAATAGGGGATCATGGTGCCCGTTTCCTTGCCCAAACTCAAAAAAGCCTATGAAAAAGGTACCAGGGGCATCTCATGGGGCCCCCTACTGACTCCGGTACCTCGGGCAGCACCCGAGTTTCCAAATGGTCAGTCCGCCCCTGATCAGCACATTATGATATTGTCTTCAAGGAAGAAACTCTATATATATTTTTTTTTTTCCAAGAGTTTACTACCATTTTGAAGGAGCGCTAAACCCTCCTATCCTTTTCAACCAAGGAAGCCGCCATCTTAGCCTGTTTGATCTTCAACTGCCATGGTGCTGCACATGTGATCAGTTATGACACCAGCCATTTGATGGCTTGACAGTTTGGTTGAGAGCGCAATCAACAGGACAGTTACATTCCCGGCATCTGCCAGGAATGTACCTGTTATTTGGAACTGTCAAATTGATGGGTTTAGTTCCGCTTTAGGATCCGTTCACATCTGGGCATATTGTAGCGCAGTCAGAATCACCACAATTCTGCCCGCAATCCCAAAACGCTCTGCACAAATGACAAATCGAACCACCAAGGTTCTAGTGCCATTTGCTTTCAATGACACCAAAAACACTGGGCGAGAAATTAGCACTGCCATCAAGGCAAACTGCATCACGTGAAGCTTGTTACCCAAAAAGGAGCAGGAGCTTCCTTTGGGGCGACAAGCTTCACACGATGCAGTTTGCACGATTGCAGCACGATTTATCGCATGACGATCGTGGCAGAATCGCACCGCGATTGACACCTGAACACACATGCTGTGTTTTGGCATTTTTTGCACAGCATTTTGGGATCTCGGGCAGAATCGCAATTTTGCCTGTGATACAATATGCCCAGACATGAACGGAATCCCAATTTAAGGCCGAACTAAACAAATTGAGTGGCTCTCCAAAACTTACATTCAAGGCATGCCATCAATGATACGTGTCACAGTTGCTTGCACTCTTAACTTAAAATGTTGCTAAACCCCGGACCCTGCATTCACTATATCCGCTCTCCCCGGACCCTACATTCAATATATCTGGTCTCCCTGGACCCTGCATTCACTATAGCCGCGCTCTCCCCGGACCCTACATTCAATATATCTGCTCTCCCCGGACCCTGCATTCACTATAGCCGCTCTCCCTGGACCCTGCATTCACTATATCTGCTCTCCCTGGACCCTGCATTCACTATATCTGCTCCCCCCGGACCCTGCATTCAATATATCTGGTCTCCCTGGACCCTGCATTCATTCACTATATCTGCTCTCTCCCTGGACCCTGCATTCACTATATCTGCTCCCCCTGGCCCAGACCCTGCATTCACTATATCCGCTCTCCCCGGACCCTGCATTCACTATATCCGCTCTCCCCGGACCCTGCATTCACTATATCCGCTCTCCCCGGACCCTGCATTCACTATATCCGCTCTCCCCGGACCTCACATTCACTATATCCGGTCTCTCCGCACCCTGCATTCACTATATCTGCTCTCCCTGGACCCTGCATTCACTATATCCACTCCCCCCAGACCCTGCATTCACTATATCCGCCCCCCCCCCGGACCCTGCATTCACTATATCCGCTCTCCTCGGACCCTGCATTCACTATATCCGCTCTCCCGGACCCTGCATTCACTATATTCACTCTCCCCGGACCCTGCATTCACTATATCCGCTCTCCCCGGACCCTGCATTCACTATATCCGCTCTCCCCGGACCCTGCATTCACTATATCCGCTCTCCCCGGACCCTGCATTCACTATATCCGCTCTCCCCGGACCCTGCATTCACTATATCCGGTCTCCCCGGACCCTGCATTCACTATATCCGGTCTCCCCGGACCCTGCATTCACTATATCCGGTCTCCCCGGACCCTGTATTCACTATATCCGGTCTCCTTGGACCCTGCATTCACTATATCCGGTCTCCCCGGACCCTGCATTCACTATATCCGGTCTCCCGGTCTCCCCGGACCCTGCATTCACTATATCCGGTCTCCCCGGACCCTGCATTCACTATATCTGGTCTCCCAGGATCCTGCATTCACTATATCTGGTCTCCCCGGACCCTGCATTCACTATATCCGCACTCCCTGGACCCTGCATTCACTATATCCGCACTCCCTCGGACCCTGCATTCACTATATCTGCTCTCCCCGGACCCTGCATTCACTATATCAGCTCTCCCCGGACTCTGCATTCACTATATCCGCTCTCCCCGGACCCTGCATTCACTATATCCGCTCTCCCCGGACCCTGCATTCATTATATCTGGTCTCCCCGGACCTGGCATTCACTATATCTGGTCTCTCGGGACCCTACATTCACTATATCCGCTCTTCCCGGTCCCCGCATTCACTATATCTGGTCTCCCCGTACCCTGCAATCACTATATCCGGTCTCCCACATTACACAGAACATGGAAGTGCAATTATTTTAGTAAAAATAACCTGCTAAATACCCTTTTTTCATCAGCAGTTTATAGCAGTCTTTTGACTTCTATCAGTGTCCAGCAGAGCACTGGTTAAAGTTTGTAGGAGGAATTTTCATTTTGCTCTAGAACAGGGGGTCTCCAAACTATGGCTCTCCAAGTGTTGAGGAACTGCAAGCCCCATGAGGGCTTGCAAGACTCTGACAGCCACAGGCAAGACTCACAGAGGCATGATGGGACTTGTAGTACTTCAACAGCTGAAGGGCCATAGCTTGGAGACCCCTGCTCTAGGAGGATACAGAGCCCCTGACCTCTGTCTGAACAATGCTGACTGGCCCTGTGCTGATCACATGCACACTCCCAAGAAAAAAAAAGTCCAGGGAATATCCGATTGCCTCTCGGGGGATCAGAAAGAATTTTTTTTCCCTGCAGGAGCAAATTGCTTTGCTGGGTTTTTTCGCCTTCCTCTGGATCAACTCTGGCTGTAGGATCATAACTTTTTTTTCTAATGGTTGAACTGGATGGACTTTTGTCTTTTTTCAGCCAGACCAACTATGTAACCTCTTAAGCAATACACACCAAACTGAGCCTGTGCAGAGAGTCCCCACATGATATGTCTTATCAGGAGATAAGAGGGGGACACTGGAAGAAGGGGAGGATCAGAGAAGACAGGATCAAACAGCCTTTTTATACAATACAGAGGATTAACCCCTTAGGTTCCGCAGTGAGTATAACAAGCATGCTTTACTGCATATACAGACCGATTGTACTGGTGTGGGTTTAGTGACACTTTAACGGTCATGCATGTCTTATCAGGAGATAAGAGGGGGACACTGGAAGAAAGGGAGGATCAGAGAAGACAGGATCAAACAGCCTTTTTACACAATGTAGAGGATTAACCCCTTAGGCTCCACAGTGAGTATAACAAGCATGCTTTACTGCATATACAGACTGATTGTACCAGGGGCGGACTGACAACTCTGGGGCCCCCGGGCAATAGGGAATCATGGGGCCCGTGTCCTTGCCCAAACTCAAAAAAGCCTATGAAAAAGGTACCAGGGGCATCTCATGGGGCCCCCTACTGACCCCGGGCCCTCGGGCAATGGCCGAGTTTCCAAATGGTCAGTCCGCCCTTGGATTGTACTGTTGTGGGTTTAGTGACACTTTAACGGTCATGCATTTTTCTTCTGCTTTTGGTAAGGCAAAAATGGAATAATAACTGATCAATGTGAAGGAGCCTTACATATTACCTATGCTAACTTCCTTTCACGTTTTCATGCTTTATTTTGCTGAGAAATTACTTTGAAAACACCCCCCCCCTAGCATTTCTGGCTGTGGCCATCTTTAGTAAGGGCAGATGATTTGTGTAGCATTTAAAACCATCAAATGTCCAGTGTCATAACTGATCAGTGTGCGACACTATAGTAGCTGCAGATCAAACAGAGGCCAAGATGGATGGCCACTTCCTTTGCTGTAAAGGAGAGGAGGGTTTAGTTCCACTTTCATTTAATTTTTGAAATGTAAGGACTGCTAAGTTTTCTGCTCTGCCCCATCTTGTTTTCATACTAGTGCTATGGTTGCAGCTATTACTTGCATGCCCTGTGCAGGGCTGTGTTCTGCCAGCACCGGGATGCACAGGTGTTGCGTGCATCCCCGTGCCGCCAGTCCCATAAATGTCTTTGGTTTGGCTCGGCTTCAATCCTTCACCCCCGGAAATCAAAGACAAGTGTCTGCTTTCCCTATTCTACTCCTTCGCAATGTCAATGATATGACTACTTAGCTGCACTTTCAGTCACAGTCACAAGAGAGCAGTGTTCTTTCACTAGGCAGATAGGAGATGGATTTTCCAAGCCAAGTGACTGACCTGCATTATAACTCTCCAGAATCATCTCCTTCTCAGACTGCCACATCTCAGTAAAGTATGGCTCCTCTCCTCGCTCAATCATTGATACGATAGAAGGCTTTACACTGTCCCATCCTTACAGACACAAACAGAACAGATCAATGTTGGCATGAAGAAAACACTCGGTAGAATTGATGCACATCTAGCTGTACCTGTCATAAAAAATACACAATTGCATTTGCACATTTTTTTTTGTTTTTTTGTCATATGTGTATATTTTACAACAACTTAGTTATTATACACTGAAAATACTAAGGCTGAGGACGCATGGCTGACTCTGCTGCTAGTGAGAATCTGCCAGCAGCAGGGTTGCTAAAAAGGCTGCCTATTGTTCCCTATGGCAGTGTTTCTCAACCTTTTTCCAGTCAAGGAACCCTTTAAAATTATGGACAGTCTTGAGGCACCCTTTAAAATTATGGAAGGTCCCGAGGCACCCTTTAAAAATATGGACAGTCCTGAAGCTCCCTTTAAAATTATGGACAGTCTTGAGGCACCCTTTAAAATTATGGACAGTCCTGAGGCACCCTTTAAAATTATGGACAGTCTTGAGGCACCCTTTAAAATTATGGACAGTCACTTATTGGTGTTCCTCTGTCATGCTTGTAACTGTCAATCTTGCAATGCCTCATGGGACTTGTAGTTTGATGACAGCTGGAGGGCCGCCAGTTTGACACCCCTGTGTTGTAGAGGGAACAATTCTATAGAGCAGTCTCTTAGTGATCCTTCTGAATCAAATTGTCAGCGAAAAGGTCACCTTTGTGTCCTCAAGCTTTACACCAATTTTGTAGGACAGTCCTTGCGAGACTCTAGATCCAGTGGTCTCCAAAATACGGCCTTCCAGGTGTTGAGGAACTGTGACTGTCAGAGGCAAGACTCTGACAGTCACACGCAAGACTCCCAGAGGCAGAGGCATGATGGGACGTGTACTACTTCAACAGCTGGAGGGCCATTGTTTGGAGACCCCTGCTCTATAGATCTACCCTGCTGACTTTCAGGCATACATCTGTAAATGCTTTGAGCACTTAGGTTATCTTCCATCTACAGACATCTACAGACACAATTTCATTCTCAGCAGCCTGTACCCTTGTAGGTTTAAGTGCATGTCTGCAAAACTATTATTTTTTAGTTTTGGATAGGTAGGAGAGAGACTGGAATGTCTGTGAGGTTTTTACCGCTCAACAATATATGCATTATTAGAGTGCAGTACCCAAAACAGGAGAGATGAGACTTTAAATCCAGATTTTAGAGCAAGCCCTCGGTTAGCTGGGGTCCCTGGAGTCATCTAAAGAGTGTGATAAGGATGAGAATATCAAAGATATATTCTGGGTACTGTAAACCTGTATTTGTACGTGACAGAAAGAGTTTCAGCCGCTTCATCATGGCTTAGGCTGGCCATGCACTATACAATTTTCTGCCCAATTTCCTTTAGATTTAGGCTGGCCATACATCACACAATATTCTTACAATTTTCCATCCAATTTCTGCCCAATTTCCTTTAGATTTACCTTCAACTGTGTAGTGCAAGGGCTTGCCTGATTGGATACAATTGAAAGTGTTGTTTAGGTTGGACTTTCTATTATATGGTTTTTGGTAAATCTAAAGCAAAATTCTCAAGAAAATTGTATAGTGTATGGCCAACCTAAGGCTGGCCATACACTATACAATTTTCTTATATGTTTCTGTCCAATTTCTGCCCAATTTCCTTTACATTTACCTTCAACTATGAAGTGCAAGGGCCTGCTTAATTGGATGCAATTGAAAGTGTTTAGGTTTGACCTCATATTGTATGTTTTTTGGTAAATCTAAACCAAAATTCTCAAGAAAATTGTATAATGTATGGCCAGCCTTAGTTCAAAATTTTTCCTTTCCTGGATAGTTTTGAAATTTACTTTAATCTCCCTAGCGGTCTGATTATGTCCATATTTCTGTGCTCAAAGCGGTACATTTTTTTGCATAGAAATATGTAATTTTTTTATTGTAGGCCTGTAATTTTTAGGTATAACTCACTGAAATCTGTCCGAACAAGAGTCTAGTAAACATCCCGGGCATGATAAAATTTGAAACACGAAATCATAAATTATAATATATTATTAATCATAAAAAATGATAATATAATAATAATAAATTTAATTCAATAATATAATCAAACCAAAAGCACTGAAATTTGAAATAGAGCGCCAAGTTCACACATCACTGAGCTCAGTCGCAGAATCGTTTTCAGTGTCTGATTACGAATTTCCCCCACGAATCATCACTCAATTCTGCAAGTGGTTCTAATTTACGATCGCTGTTCTCTAGCCGGTCTAAAACCGCTTTTGACCAAAAGCGACGCTTTTTGGACGCCATGGACGTTTCTCAGTTTCCAGGCAGAAAGAACAGTAAAAATGCAGGCAGGGCACAGGACAAAGCACTCGGGACAAAATGTATGTGGAATGGTTTGATACAGTAATGTTTTACTATGTGATTTTAGTGAATTTAGTGAATGTCACAATTTAAAATGTTTTAATTTCCCTCCAGTTCCATCCCCCCTTACGTCCCGACGTCGCAGGGAATGGAACCTGGAAGAAAGATGCCGGCATCGGCCGGAGGAGATGGCTGGGGACGCAGCAGGATGGACATCGCGGGAGCACAGGACAAGGTAAGTCAAGAAGGGATCCCAGAGCAACGCTGCAAGGTATTCCCGAGTGTAGCCTGGGGGGGACACCGCTTGTGGTACTGAAAGTTTACCCCGAGCTACACTCGGGAACACCGCCAGGGAGGTTAACAACTAAAATATTGAGGTCTTCCATAGTGTGGTCCGGTTGTGCGAAATGGTGTCCCATTTCATGGGACATTCAATTAATTTCCCATTCAAGTCATGCATGGCCAGCCTAAAAGACTAAAACGGTGCTTGTTCAGGTGACCGGTCAGACAAGTTCCTTTAATAATCTCCCTATTTACTGTCAGCACCTAAGCCATTAACCACCTCCCGTCCGGCCCTTGTATATAAATGGGCTCCCCGCCCCCTGCCTGTGCGCGCTCCCTGGGAGCGTGCAGCACCGCGATCCGGTGCCCGCTGTGTCCTCCGGACACAGTGGAACACTGATCGTTGTACGGGACCTCTGTGCAAGGTCCCGATCATGGGATCACTGATTGTCACTTCTGACATCATTGCTTACTACGTGTGAAATCTGTGAATGATCACATAGGTCACATGGTACAAGGCTATTCACAACAGACTTGTACCATGTGACAAGCTGTGACCAATCACAGCTCACACAGTAATTCTCAATGGCTACAAGAATGCAGCCAGAGAAAAGGAGAAATCATTGCTTTTACAGCCTTTATGGGTGTAAAAGCAATCAGTGTAAAAATAAAAATCTTCATCACCCCCCACAAATAGTACAGTGTCACCATGGTGACACTGTACTGCTAGGGTGACAGTATGTTAAAAAAACATAAGTAATAATATAAAAAAAATTAAAAATGTAAAAAAAAATTTAAAAAATTATCATTTTTGGTTATAAACTAATTTGGGTTTTTTTTTTTACTAAAAAGATAACTGAATACATTTTGGCCAAGATTTATGATGAAATATTATTTATTTGCAAAATTTTATAAGAAAAACACTTTTTTTCAAAATTTGTGGACTTTTTGATTTACATAGCAAAAAAAAATTAAACTCCCAGTGGTGAATAAAAACCACCAAAATAAAGCTTTATCTGTCTCAAAAAAATGCTAAAAAGTTCATATGGGTACAGTGTTGCATGACCGCGCAATTGTCATTCAAAATGTGATAGCACTGAAAGCTGAAAATTGGCCTTGGCAGGAAGGGGGTAAAAGTGTCCAGACTGGAAGTGGTTAAGAAGAAGGAAGTACTGAGCCTCTGAAATGTCATGGCTTTTTTGTGGCCTTCTGTTATGTGCAATACAGATTTACTAGACTCATATTATACCTTTGGCGCTCTCATCCATTTCACATACTCTGGGCTTTTACAGCTCTGTTAGAACTCCAATCAGATTTTTAATTTTGTCTCTGTCCCTGTTGTAGATTTTCTGGTAAAACATAAAACACTGGGGCAGAAAGTAAAAGTAAATCTTTCTAAAAACCTGACAATAATTGTAATCATTCCCCAATCTATCCAAACTCGGGGGAAAATAGTTTTCAGCTTGACATGCTTATAATTCCATTTTATTGCACCACAAAAAAAAAATACATACGTAAAAAAGGACTTTGTTTTATTAAGAGACTCGCTGATGATCACATGACCAATTCTATCATTTGATTCTCTGTCTTTTGTAACTGCCAAAGGTTGGCAGTTGATGGTAACCACCATACTACGCTGAATAATTCTGGGTGAGAATAAAAAATTCTAGAGATTCAGATAGCAGAGCTAGTTGCAGATCTCCATACAATGTATGAACAATTCGGTCAGTGTATGAAAATTAACTGATCTAAAATAGGCAGCCAGAATAAATTGTTGTCTTTACTCACCCAACTTTACTATTACCATTACTAGTATATAAAAATCCCAGTACCTATACCGCCATTTGTAGACGCTATAACTTTCATGTAAACCAATTAATTTACACGTATTGGGATTTTTTTTTAGCAAAGACATGGAACAGAATACATTTTGGCCTAAATTTATGACGAAATTTGATTTTTTAAATTTTTTTTACTGGACATGTTCAATAGCAAAAAGTCCAAAATATTGTTTTTTTTCTCAAAATTTTCGGTCTTTTTTTGTCAGTGAGCGGGCATGCACTATAATAACTATTGCCTATGACATGCTTCAGAGGAGCAGTTCAGATAATAACCCAGTTCAGATATCAACAGTGCTTACCTAAGTTTGACATGAATGTGTTTGATATTACCCACATGGAAGAAAAATATATTTGAAATACATTTTAAAAATATTCTTCCCAAACATATTGCCATATATTTGAAATACTACAATTTTGGCCATATTCAATATATTTTAATAAATATACATCTATATTTATATACACACTGTATGTTGAAATGCGTTTTCATTACAAAATATATGAAAAATATTTTTTAAAATACATTTCAAATATACTGTATGTCTTTAA